AAATTTATTCTCTTATATTTTTGGAAGTTAAAAGGTAAGATCTGGGTACCAGCTCTAGGGGAAAGCGTCTCCTTTCTGTCACTTGTAGAGGAGATTCTGATTCCTTCAGTTTCTGGAGGCTTGGCACTCCCTGGAGACCTCCATGAGTCCTTTTCTCCTCCAGGGTTAGAGCTTCATGCTGTAGGACCCCAGGTGCAAGAAGACACACTCCACTCCTGGAGATTATTTATTGGTGTTAGTAAGGGTCTTCCTCCTTGATTCACTTCCCTCTATTTTCATTTCTAATGAGATGGAAGGTTTTACAGACTACACATTATCTTCAGTTATGGCTGTGATGAGAATAGGGAGTTATGCATTCTACCCTTAATCCTCCCAAAATGATATAATTCTCCATTTGGTTTAACATATCATGTGGGCTTATTGTAGCTTTCACATTATAACATGTACTTTTGGCAGGAAACCATTCAACCCATGACATCTCCCACTCTGACCTTGTTTTTACTACCAGGTCCTTAGTTTCTAACTTCTTGGGCTGAGCTGACAGTGGCTATTCACAGAGACTGAGGTAGGTCACCATTTCATTTTCTAGTTAACAATGTTGCCTACCAATCAGTACATCCTATTTTGTCTCAGGGACTGGGTTGGTTGTCTAAACTCTTTTTATATAGAGAATGCTTTTCCACAGGAAGGAAATGAAATGACCTAAACAATTATTATCAAAAGTAGATCTGGATTTGCTCCCACCATAAGCCATGTATCTGGAGTAGGGAGGGATGCTGCGGATGAGACCACCAGTCTAACCTCCGTCAGAGTCCTTTCAACAACATTCCTGGAGATGCCAGGGCAAATGCATTCCAGAACAGCTATGCGTTTTGTATTTGAAGACAACTCGTGTGGCCCTGAATCCCATGCCATGAACTGGTTCTCATTTGACATGGTTTACAGTTGTCCCTTCCTTTTCTCGTCAACCAAACTGCTCTCCTACAGACAGATTAAAATCTTTTTTCCTTATTATAATGTGGTTCCCATGACAATGTGAAGCTTTGGGTGTTAGCCTATAGTTAGGGAGGAGACTACATATCTTTTTTTTATTATTAGTTTTTTAATTTTATACTGGTTTACATACAAAGTTCTTAAAATTCATATACATCATATTTCACACCAGATCTTTGCTCTTTCATTTACCTATCTCTCCTTCCCCCTGTCAAATTGTGTGACCCTATGATTAAGTCCCCTTCACATTTGCATCCTTGTACTTGTGCTACAATAACAGTCTTCTACTGTATTTGTTATTTTGAGACTGAGTTCACTCAGCATAATTCTCTCTAGTCCCTCCCATGTTAGGTAGTAATTTACAAAATCAGTGCTCCTGTGTGCTGCTGCATATTATTCCACTATATGAACATACCATAATTTCTTAGTCCATTCCATTGTGGTTGGGCAATTGGACTATTTCCATGTTCTTGCTATGGGGAATAATGCTGCTATGGACATTGATGTACAAGTCTCGGTTTGTGCCTCAGTTCTCATTTTCTCTGGGTATATTCCAAGCAGTGGAATAGCTGGGTCATATGGAATTTCTATGTCCAGTGTTTGAAGAAATGCCAAACTGACTTCCGGAGTGGTTGTACGATTTTACAATCTTACCAAAAATGTATTAGCGTTTCTATCTCACCACATTCTCTCCAACATTTATTATTTGCTGTCCTGCTAAACTTTGCCACTGCTACTGGGGTAACATGGTATCACGTTGTGGTTTTGATTTACATCTCTCTAATTTCCAGTGATTTAGAGCATTTCGTCAGGTGTTTATTGGCCATCCGAATGCCTTCTCTGTGAAAAGTCTATGTCTTTTGCCCATTTTGTAGTTGAGTTATCAGTCTTTTTCTTCTGGAGGCCCAGGAGGAGTATTCTGTAAACTTTTGTGATGAGAGCCTTGTCTGAGGTGCTATTGCCAAATGTTTGTTCCCAATCGTTTGGTTTTCTTTTTACCCTGTTAGAAAAAGGTTTTGATGAGCACAGAGATTTAATCTTTAGAAGATCACATCCATCAATTTTTTTTTTTTCTCAGACACAGAAAAAAGTTTAATTCTGCTGCGGTGGAGGGTCCCACATCCATCAATTTAATCCTCTTCAAATTGTGTATTTCTGGCTCTATTTGGCAGCTTCTTTTTATCGTAGACTAGGTCTTATAAGCTTGGTCCAAGTTTGTCTCTTATGGTTTTGAGCTTTATTATCAGGTCTCTGATCTACCTTCAGTTGATTTTTGAGTATAGTGTGAGATGTAGATCCTCTTTCAGCCGTTTGCAGGTAGCAGTTCAATTCTGCTAGCACCATTTTTTGGCAGAGGTTGTCATTTCTCCATTTGATAGACAGATTTAGTACCATGCTGTTTTGGTTAGTACTGCTGTGTAATAAGATTTTAATATTAGGAAGTAATATGCCGTCAACTTCTTCTTTTTTTTTTTACTGAGTATAGTGCACTTTCCTGCGACTCGACGGCACTTAACAACAACAACATGGTGTACTTCATTGATGGTACATGACAAGATGGGCTCTCCAAGCCCCTCTCTTTTCTCAGAGGGACTGGATGGAAATTGTGTCAAGGATGTGAGATTTTCAGTGTGTGGGAGGATCAAGTTGGGGCAAGGACTCACCAGTAGCTGAGTCTCTCTCTCTCTCTCTCTCTCTCTTTTCTAGTGTTATTGCTGGGGCTGGTGGTCCAAGGGGCTCTTACTCTTTGGAGGCCATGTGAACCACCCAGGTTGACCACCCAGTTGCTGTAGCCAAATTCATTGTCATACCAGGAAATGAGTTTGACAAAAGTGGTTGTTCAGGGCAATGCCAGCTCCAGCATCAAAGGTGGAAGAGTAGGCGTCACTGTTAAAGTTACAGGAGAAAATCTGGTCTTCAACATCCCAGGATGCCCTTGAGGGGCCCTTCCGATGCAATGCCTGCTTTACTACTTACTTCATGTCATCATATTTGGCAGCTTTCTCCAGATGGCAGGTCAGGTCCACAACTGACACATTGGGGGTGGGGACACAGAAAATCATGCTGGTAAGTTTCCCATTCAGGTATGACCTTGTCCACAGACTTGGCAGCACCAATAGATGCAGGGATGATATTCTGGGAAGCTCCATGGCCATCATGCCACAGTTTTCCAGAGGGGTCATCCACAGACTTCTGGGTGACAGTGATGGTGTGGACTGTGATCATGAATCCCTCTACATTGCTGAAGTTGTGATGGATGACCTTGGCCAGGGAAGCCAAGCAGTTGGTGGTGCAGGAGGTATTTCTGACAATCTTGAGAGA